ACAACACAGACGTGTTTGCATATAAATCGCGTTTGTTTTATTTAACACAAATTAAAACTAACTTCTGATTTTATTTGCGCAAACGGTTTGTTCGAAATCGCACAAATATTCAACTGTAATACAGATGATATACAGTAGCATGCAGTAGCACACCAATAGAATCACTTGTGAATGAGTCTGTATGCAATTGTTTAGACAGCAGACGTATCATTAAAAGTCAAGGTCACCGTTGATTTCATGTATTTTAAAAACTTGATCAATGCGCTGGAGCGTGAAACAAACTTTTTTGTTCACTTTTCGTCATGATGAGTTATTTGATATTGTTGAAACAAAAATAAAAGTGAATTAAGTGCATGGACTGCGGCGAGAAAAATAAAATTGAAAAATATAGAAAAAATACATACTGTTTTGCTCTTCCTGTTTGAAGTAGATTTTATCATACTTTCAATTATAAATAGAGGCAATGTTCATTTCAGGAAATAATTTACAGTCGATGTTCTAGTCAATTTGGTACTAATATTCTGTGCTGTGATAAAGTAGCGAACGATTCAAATTGATTTTTCTTGATTCCAAAGTTTAAAAACACGTAGGCAAATGATAAACAATACCGAATACTATTTGCTGAACAATTTATCATTTGTACTTAAACTATATGAAGATTCAAATCAGTTATTAGTTATATGAATATATTGACGGTGAGCTCATCATGCGCAACAATATTCAAGAGCTAAACTTGATTTATATAATATCAAACACTTATATATTTGTGGGGTTTTCTAATATGTGTAAATGATAATACGTTGTTTTGTCTGGCTATCCGTATGGTTTCGTATCGCTGTTGGCGTTCAAGCTCTTCTAGAAACATGTAACGTGGGGTTTGATGAAATGACATCTATATTTCCAATGAACTAAATGGCATTTTGCTGAAAACTAAATTCTCTTCAACTTCGTATTATGAATACTCAATTAGTGATTAACAAAATACAGTCCTTTATAACAATTTTTTTTTCGGATATATTATTTTTACACAATTATATATGCAGTAAATTTTAAAATGCTCGCAAAATGTGAATTAATTTGATTTTTTTCTTGGTTTCAATTCCAAATGCATTCCATTTTTTAAGCTTAAGCTAAATGGTATTTTCTTCAGTTCCAAGGGATTTTCTGTCTTTTCATTGGCCACAAACGAAAAGTTTAATAGTAAATAATACAAGATTGCCTTTACCTCCATTAATGCAAAACGTGAACCTGATAATTTAAATAAAATATTCATATTTCAATTATAATTCGAAAAAGATATATCTTACCGATACAATTTCTTGGCCCGATTCCAAAAGGTATATATGTTCCTGGTTGAATGCTGTTTTTATTTTCATCGCTAAATCGTTCAGGGTCAAACTTCTCAGGTTCCGGAAAATAGTTGGGATCATGTTGAATGCCAAATATTGGAAATAGAAATGCCGTTCCTTTTTCAACTTTGAATTTTAAGCCTTCACCATTATCAAATGTGTAATCTTTCACACAGACTCTATCCACTTGAATAGCAGGTGGCCACTTTCGTAAGGTTTCGCATATAAATTGGTCCAAATATTTCATTTTCTGAAGTATATCATAATTAATTCGTTTCCCGTCCAATTGATCATTTACATCCCTGATTTCTTCGTAAAGTTTTTGCTGAATTTCCGGATTTGCGACGAGCTCATGCGAAGTGAAGGTTAGCAATGTCGACGATGTTTCAAAGCCGGCTAAAAAGAATAGGAAGCATTGAGCTACGATCTCATCATCACTCCATTTTCGGCTGACCGACACTTGTCCAACGTGAGATTCTTCAACCGTTGCAAATCCTTCCTTTTCTTTTGTCGACTTTTCATCACTTTGATATTTCAAACTTCCTTCACGCACTTGCATTAGAATATTGATCATGTCGGGCCGAAATATATTGCGACTTTTTCGAACCTCCATCGTTTCAAGAATTAAGTTTTTAAATGTTTTTGCAAAAAAATCGTCCACCATTTTCAATTTAAGTGCACGTGCCAGTAATGGTAATTTATTTGTGATGATGATCTGTGCAATTTTTTTTATTCCGCTAAAGTCCATTATTGTTTTGCCTTTCATATAGAATTCATTCTCTGGATCGGAGAGCGAGTTAATTTTAATGCCAAATGCACATGAAGCAATTACATCGTTCGTATAGCGTGAAAAAAAGTCCTTCATTTCGACATTGATTTGTTCGCCGTTTGCTACACGCCCTAGAAAATGTTTAACAACATCATCAGCACATTCTGAAACGAGCTCAAACATTTGTCGCATTTTGCTGCCGGTAAATGCTGGACTCAGTGTGGCTCTCATTTGACGCCATTTTTCACCTCGCATCAAAAACAATGAATTGCCCCACATTGCATCCACTTTTTCATCAGCGAATGAACGATGATCTTCAAAAAATTCAAAATCTTTGACACCGATTTGTTTAATGATCTCCGGATTGCGGACTACAAATTGCGGCATACGAAAATCAAACATTCCGTAAATTCTAAATTTTTATTGAAAAAAGGTAGATGATCAAAGCGTCTCTTTTTTTTTCAATTACAAGACTTACGATTCATTGGGGAATGTTTTATATATTAAATCGCTAAATTCAATGGCATTATATTTTTGTAAAAAAAATCCCCCGGTATTTCCAACGAAAAAGTTCGGTTTCATATGCTTAACATGCCGTCGTTCAAAGTATTCATTGTTTAATGTCACCCATCTGTAAAAGGCCCAAATGAATAAAGTGACAGCCGCAAGCAATAAAACTTCACCAATCATTTTTATCTGGAATAAAAAAAATGTTTTTCGGTAGTTTGGATCCTGATTAATTGAACGGTATATTGTATCATTACTATACAAAAAGGAGGTTACTTCGTCGTGTCTGTTTTCTTTTATTGTGGCAAGTTACACCTATAAATAAAATATCTAATAAGAGTTAACTAGAATGACACGTTGTTTTTTATTTCATTTTATTAAAAAAAAAAAAAACAATTTGCAATTTGAATATTTTTTGGATGTTAAGCAGATTGAATTGACAGAAATTCAAATTGTTTTCAACAAAAATTTGAACATTCAATTAATTTATGTCCTTAAAATATATTTTTCACATCACAAAAGATTAATTTACATCAAAATTCCACACAATCACCAATTTTTTTTTTTTTTTTTTCAATATTTCCAACTTATAATGAATGAAATATTATTCCTGTTAGTATTTTTTTTTTATTTAACACGCGAGCTTGCACAGTGGAGAAACAAATGTGACTGGTGTCACGATGCGGATACAATGAGAGTTAGGTAATATTGTTTCTGAGTTTATAAGCGAATTATTTTCAATTCAAAATGTGTATGTCATTCAGAAACACACTCACAATATTTAGAGTTCGTATTCTTGCAATAACGTGGTGTTCAGTTAATAACAACTCACACATGTAAACAATACATATGGCAAAAATGATCAAATCAACTATCAAGCATACACTTAATATAATTCATTGATAACGACAGAAACTGATGTGGTTGTATACTTTTATTCGAATTTGAAGTGCATGATACAGCCTTGTAGCGTGCAAAAGTCACGCTGTTTATACCAAACTATGTTATATTTGTACGGTATATAAATTTGTATTTGATGCGGCAATCGCATATACATCGTAATCGTATATTTTGGTTTATACTGACATCATCAATTTTGGTCTATATTTGTTCGATTACATCTTCCGGGGTTTTAATTCAAAGTGCATTCCATTTTTCAGGGCCATACTAAACGGTGAGTTTTTCAACTGTATCGGAATTTGTGTTTTTTCGTTTGGTTCGATGGAGAAGTTCAACAGCAAATAGTACATAATAGCCTTGATTTCCATGAGTGCGAATCTGGAACCTAAAAAATTTAAATTATATAAATGTGATCAATCGAATACTTCATACTTACCAATGCAATTTATTGGCCCACGGCCAAAAGGAATATAAGTGCCTGAAAGGATATTGTCTTTGTTTTCATCACTAAATCTCTCAGGGTCAAATTTGTCCGGTAAGTTGATACGACACAAAACTATACTTACAAAAGAGCTTCAAACTCATTTTTTTATTTATGTCATCAGAGTTGAAAATAAAAAACGCAAAATATCTATAATGTGCAATTTTTGTTTTATTTGTTAATTGTTGCTACTATGATCAGTGTGATTGTTTGTATTCAATTATTTCTGTTTACCTATAGTCATTGTTTACTTTTGACGCGGCTTAAGTTCCAAATGTACGCCATTTTCTGAGTCTAAACTGAATGAACTTTTCTTCAATATCAATGGTATTTGAGTTTTTTCATTCGGTTCAAATGAAAAGTTCAATAATAAATTGTATAAAATGGCTTTAATTTCCATAAGTGCAAATCGCGATCCTAAAAATTTTTTTTTAAAAAAGAAGATAATTGAAATTCTCCGGTTGAATTTCTATTTCAAATGAATTTATCCTACCGATACAATTTCTAGGTCCTATACCAAATGGAAGGTATGTGCCTGATATTATGCTGTTTTTGTTTTCATCACTAAATCTCTCAGGGTCAAATTTTTCGGGATTAGGAAAGTATTTTGGATCGTGATGTATAGCATATACAGGAAATATAAATGTATCTCCCTTTTCCGCTTTTAACTTCAATTTCTCACCATCATCATAATTGTAATCTTTGGTACAAAGACGATCCACAACGAAGCCTGGTGGCCATTTCCGCAATACTTCACAAATGACTTGATCCAAATACTTCATCTTTTGTAAAGCATCGTAAGTGATGCTTTTTCCACCGAGTTGTTCGCTCATTTTTACAACTTCTTCATACAATTTTTGCTGGATATCTGGATTCGTTGCGATCTCGTAGACAGTGAATGTCAGGATGGTGGCTTAATGATGAAATTTTGATTATGATCTTATGTCGATTTATCGATAAAAGGTGGATATGTTATTACCTGATGTCTCAAATCCCGCTATAAAAAAAATGAAGCACTGAGCCACAATCTCGTCATCAGTCCACGTACGTTTCACCGTCAGTTTACCAATTTCGGACTCTTCAACCGTTGCAAAGCCCTCTTTTTCTTTTGCCATTTCATCGATCTGATGTTTCAGTGTTCCTTCGCGAATTTGCATCAACATATTTATCATGTCTGGTCGATAGATTTTATTCTTCTGTCGAAACGACATCGTATTCAAAATTGTGCTCGTAAATGCGTTTGCAATCGAAGGATTTGTGAATGTAATATTCAAAGCTCGTGCAATTTTTGGAATTTTTTCTATGAAAAATAACTTGATCATCGATTTAGTTGAAGTAAAATCCATTAAAATTTTCCCATTCAGGTAAAATTCGTTTTTGGGATCAAAAAAAGAGTTTATTTTTAAACCAAATGCACAAGTTGCAATCACATCGTTTGTGTATCGAGTGAAAAAATCCTTCATCTCGATATTGATTTTCTCGCCTTTTTCAACCTTTTCTAAGAAGTGTTTCACAACATCATCGGCACACTCGGCGACCAGCTCAAACATTTGTCGCATTTTGCTACCAGTAAATGCTGGGCTTAATGTGGCTCGCATTTGACGCCATTTTTCACCAGACATTAAAAATAGTGAGTTTCCCCACAATTTGTCACTTGTGTCGTCAAGAAATGCATAATGATCCTCAAAATGATCGAAATCTTTTATTGCAATTTGTTTATATAGTTCGGGATCACGAATTATATATTGCGGAGTACGAAAATCAAACAATCCATAAACACTGTAACATAAAAAATAATGTCAATGATTGTTAATTTAAATAAAAAAATTGGAATAATAATCGGGAACGTCTCACACGATTCATTTGGAAATGCTTGGTATAACTCATTCGCAAATTCAGCTCCCGTATATTTATTGATATATGTACCACTGACATTGCCAACTAAGAATTTCGGCTTCATATATTTTATATTGCGTCGCTCAAAAAAATCATTGTTGATCGTAGCCCATTTGTAAAAAGCATATATCAAGAAAGAAACTGCCGCAACAAGTAAAAATTCACCGAACATTTTTTATTCCTGAAATTCAAAATATTTAATGTTAAATCTTCGAATCAACTCAAAAAATAAATAAATGAACTTCATGGTACACATGAAAAAAATAATAAAGTAAAAACAAAATGAATTTTTGTAAACTCGAACGCGATATACTTGCTAAAAGATTAACGTTGTTAAAATGTGAGTAGGCAACATTTGGTCTATCATCCACAATGTTGAATTTGTATTCAAACAATACAAATATCTCTAACTAATGTATATCGCCCTTTTTATTCAATCAAAATTCAGCCAATTGATTTGATTAAAATAAATGATTTAACCTTGACAAAACATTCTGATATATTTGACTTTGTTTTTCGTCGTACCTATTTTTTGCCTTGATATTACACGTTTAAAGCTTGGTCTGTGACTGATGTCGTTTGTGTCGTACGCTTAGTGTTTTTAAACTAAATTTCTAAAAAACAAATTGATATCGTATCTATTATGACCGAACAAAAGATTATATATTATAAGGAGGTGGTAATTTCCCTGAACAACGTAATTTTCGTATTCTGATAGTGATATTTTTGAAGAGCTGCAGCCCATCATGATGACATTGCAATATAATATGTCGGACACTAATATATATTTTAAATAAAACGTAATGTTTCGCTACTTACAATCAAATTGGTCTAAAGACTATTTTTGTTTGGTCATTGACTAATAGCAAAAACGTTGAAAAAAGGTAAATTATATTCCAGGTGTGCTATTGCGTTCGGATATGGTACCGGACGGCAGTTCGCGCGTGTGTGAAATATGCAATATAAGAAACAATCAATGTTAAAATTCACCAATGTTTTTTTCTCTCAGTTTTCACTTCTCTCTTTCGCATAACGACAGTGCTTGCGTTGCGTTTGCGGCATATGATGTACATTGAATGATGCATGCATCATTCAATCTACAGCATAAATGTATGTATTCCTGAACGGTTGAAATCTGGGATTACAAAAAATGCAAATTAAATTTCAATGAGTTGAATGGAATTTATGTTTTATCCCAGATTTATTCTCACACAGTGTTAGTGCTATGAAAATTGTGTTGTTATGTGACTATTTGTATTCTAATTGAATGTTATAAAAATTTCTGATACAGTGTGATATGGAGAGTGTGTAAGTGATTTCGTAACAGTATATACACATCAATTAACTACAATTTTGTGTTGCTAAACTTTTTTATTAACTACAAAAACCCAAAGTTTAATACGAGTAGAAAGTATATATTATTGATTCTGATTCCAAGTGCGTTACCCTCTTCTTCAATTAAATGTAGCATTCTGGTTTTGAATACATTTTCATTTCTACTTTTTGCGTGGTTTTAATTCCAAGTGCATTCCATTCTCTGGAAGTAAAATCATACCACGTTTCAATTTTACTGGGATTTGTGTTTTTTCGTTTGGTTCGATGGAGAAGTTCAACAGCAAATAGTACACAATAGCCTTGATTTCCATGAGTGCGAATCTGGAACCTAAAAAATTTAAATTATATAAATGTGATCAATGGAATACTTTTTCATACTCACCAATGCAATTTCTTGGCCCAAGGCCAAAAGGAATGTAAGTGCCTGAAAGGATATTGTCTTTGTTTTCATCACTAAATCTCTCAGGGTCAAATTTGTCCGGCTCTGGAAAATATTGTGGATCATGATGTATTCCATAGATTGGAATGAAGAATGGGGTACCCTTTTCTACCTTCAAATTGGATTCATTGCCAAGGTCATAGACGTAATCTTTAGTACAAACGCGATCAACTTGGGCGGCAGATGGCCATTTTCGCAGCGATTCGCAAATAATTTGATCTAAATATTTCATCTTTTGCAAAGCGTCATAGGTGATGCTTTTTCCACCAAGCTGTTGCTCGGTTTCCAAGATTTCTTCGTATAATTTTTGCTGAATATCAGGATTGACTGTAAGTTCATACGACACAAAAGTTAACATTGTTGATGAGGATTCAAATCCAGCGATGAAAAATAAAAAGCATTGCGCCACGATCTCATCATCATTCCACTTGCGTTTCACAGTCAATTTACCAATTTCAGATTCTTCGACCGTTGCAAACCCTTCTTTCTCTTTTACATTTTCATCACTTTTTAATGTTCCCTCACGCACTTGCATCAACATATTTATCATGTCTGGTCGAAAGAATTTGTTCTTTTTCCTTATTTCCATTGTGGTTAAAATCGTTTCTCTAAACGATTTGGCAATTACCGGATCGGTTGAAGTAATATTTAATGCACGTGCAAGAGCTGGCAATTTAGTTAACACCACCATTCGACACATTGCCTTGAACGAAGTGAAATTCATTAAAGTTTTCCCATTGAGGTAAAATTCATTTTCTGGCTCCAGGAACGAATTTATTTTTAAACCGAAGGCACACGAAGCTATCACATCATTGGTGTATCGTCCAAAAAAGTCTTTCATTTCAATATTCACTTTTTCACCGCTTTCAACTTTGTGCACAAAATGTTTAACAACATCATCAGCACATTCTGAGACGAGCTCAAACATTTGTCGCATTTTGCTGCCAGTAAATGCTGGACTTAATGTGGCTCGCATTTGACGCCATTTTTCGCCTTTCATAAAGAAAAGCGTGTTTGACCACAATCGATCTATTCCCTCATCGGTGAATGCACGGTGATCTTCGAAGTGATCAAAATCCTTAATGGTAATTTGTTTAATTGCCTCTGGGTCACGAACCACATAGTGCGGAACTCGAAAGTCGAATAATCCATAGATTCTTCAAAAAATAAACATTTAAGATGAATAGAAATATTTTAACTTGTACCGTGACTATATGACACTATGAACTCACGATTCATTGGGGAATGCGTTATAAAGTTTTTGTGCAAATTCGGTGACCGTATATTTGTTTGTAAATAATCCGCCCGTATTTCCAACAATAAATCTAGGTTTCATGCATTTGATGTTTCTTCGCTCAAAGAAATCGTTATTGATTGTGGCCCATTTGTAAAACGCGTACGAAATTAAGCCAACTGTTGCGATGAGCAGTATTTCTCCCAACATAATGACCTCTAACAATGTGATAAATGAAAAATGCTGTTTCAGCGGTGTTTTTTTTTTTGAAATTTCAATTCAAATCGAATAAATACAAGAACTGTTGTGCTCTAATGAGTTGAATTATATCAATTGATTTTAATTTGGTTCAACAGACGTCATACACAATGCACAAATTGGCACATCACACGGTTTTTGATAAACTCTAATCAAAGCAGTCGTATATTAAAAAAATATAATATCGCACGTGTCTGTTTCTATCTTTTCAAAAGAAAAAGAAAAGAAGCAATGAACAATATTGCGATTTATAGAATTTCGTATGAACTTTGTTTGGTTTTTTTTTAATCTCGTTCATTTAAAGCGACGAAAGTAATCAGTGTGCTACTGTTGACTTATTCTTTTACTGAAATGTTTTGATGATGTATATTTGGCGAACAAAAGGTAACTGATGAGTATAGTATTTCGAAGTTCTTTATATATGGAATCTACAGGCTCATAATGTTGTCAATGATTGATAGTGTATATGAGCATATATATCGTCATAAGCGATGTCAACACAACGATGCCTTATTATCATGTATTTTTTGAATGTAGATAGCGTTTGATTAGATATGAACAGTGTTCACTGAACACATTAGATTGTTCAAATATAGCGCCCATTATCAATTAATTATATTATATTAACGGTGTTGTCTGGTGTCGTTTTGCATTTCATGCTGATTAATGTTGACTCAACGTCATTGAGGTGGTAACGGATTTTTTTTTGAGGAAGGTGATGTAAAAATGAATAGTATGCACAAGCGTCACTTTTATCCTATTAAGTAAGTTGTTTGATTCCACATGGAAAAAAGTTGATTGCAGATTAAAAGAACATGGGGGTCCACAAAAATGTTTTTAGGGTTGGAAAAAAATTCCAGAGGAATTAGAACCCTCGTAACCACCTATGGGCGTTGAGATTGAATGACACTTTCGCACTATTCTCCATTGTACAATTTAAAAAATTAATTCTCATACACCATCACATACAATGAACTCAATAGCTACATCTTTTCTATTAGCACAATAACATGATACCGATACCATTTTTTTGTCATCACCAAGAATCTAGTTTGCAAATATTTTTTTTAAATATATTGAATTTCATTAGGAAGCTAGGCTAGTGTGTAGTACAATGTAATTAGTAAATTTATGGAAATACCTAGTTAGTAAGTAAAATTTACACATTTTCACTTCATTATCAAATATTGGTACCCAACTGAGATAAAGCAATTAAAAATGAGAAATTGGTGTGAATTAATTAGATACAGTGGACGACAGTGGAGAATGGACAATGATTAAATTAAACATGACTAGGTGGATGTTTCTTATAAAGAAGATGCATGGGCATTTTAATATAGCTCAGAATTGATCACAAATTGATGTTGCTTAAATGGGGAAAATTATTGATAGCAATATTACAACAGACAGTCCAGGCAGTTCAAGCGATCAACAACAGTTTATTTATTACTCATCAAGTCATATAAATTGAACCCAGACAATTCGGAAGATCGTCGGTACTCATTTAACTTGCGATAGCACACCAGATACGCACAATAAAACTGATTTCACAGATGCTTAGAATTATCTCGCAAATGGCTAATTTGAATGTATAATACGCTTGATAACTTTCTGGTGCTTCAGCATAGCTTGATGATTCATGTTCGTTGGTAATGAATAAGATTTCTCTTATAAATAAATTACACTTTTTGCTCACCACTTTTTTTTGGAATATTTGATACAAATATTTTTTTACACTTTATACCCAACGGACAAATATGTAACGTTTTTAGGACATTTTAACGTTAAAAAAATGTAACGCTTTAACCCATTTTTGTGGCAATTTTCGTGTCAAATGGAAGGTAGAATAATGTGAACCACTTTTTCGGCTTTTTCGTGTTGCGATACACAACAACATCTTCTGTGTGTTTCGATTGTTTCTCTTTTTGTTATTATATTCTAAGAAACTGTAGCGGCAATACAATGTAAACAAATGTAAATAACATAAACTCGTTGAGTTCATAATATCGTATTCATACGATTGATTTTAAGCAAATGAACATATATGCGCTACACGATTGTTGAATGAGTGGAATGAGAAGAA